CCCCGGGGGCCGCCCCGCGCACAGCCCGGGGCCACTCGACGCGTCCCCGCGCGGATGGGACCGGCTCCCGCGCGGATGGGACCGGCTCCGGCTGCTTTGCCATCGGTTCCGTGTCTCTGCGTAGTCCGTAGCCCGTCCTGCGCTCGTGGAACTTGGCGGTTGCCATTTGCATTTGCAACAAAAGTCAAAAATTAGCCGAAAAAAAGCCCTGGTTGGTTTCTCCTCTCCGTTGGGTTGCTCAGCGCGGGGGCTCCCTGGTGCTGCTGGCGGTGCCCCTGTGCGAGGGGATTCGGAGCGGTTTGTTGTCTTCCCCCTCGAGAAAACCCACGGGAAATCTCCCCTTGGCGCCAGCCTGCGGATTTGCCCTCCTGCATCGGCCTCTTCCTGAGCAGGTAAAAGCAGAGCCCCCCCTGCCCCTGCACGGCCAGACCCAGCGTCCCGGTGGCCCCACACACCGCTCGTGCCATGTTTATAAATCAGCGTTTTATATTTTTGTACTGAAAGCAATTGGAGCACTTTAGAAAAGCTTATGTGAAATCCCCCCGTGTTTGTCCCTGGAAGGAAATCCCGGTGGTGTCGTCGCGTGCGTCCCCCCCAGAGCTGTGAACCCTCTTCGTTAGGATCAGTCTTAGGTCTGGTTTCTAGGCCCACCTTGCACTGAAAGATTTAATAAGTAATCATGGTTTGTGCTTAAATTGAACATTTTGTTGGGGAAGTGTTTGGGGTTTTTTTGTTAGGATGTAAACATTGTAAATAGTTCCTTTACTGTTGATACTCAATAGTAACATCTTTGTAGTCCTTATTTTATTTGTAAAGTCGATGGTGAAATGTTAATATTTTGTTGAATTGTGCACTCTTGATTAACTGTAAACTTGATCTTAGCACACCAAATGATGATTTTTACAATGATTGCAATGTTTCTCCACTGAAGGATTTCAGAGCTGCAATAGGACTGAAACCAACCTCTAGCAATAAAAAAAAAGGTTAAAAACGGAGCGCCTGGCGAGATTTTCTTTGTGCTTCCCTTTGGACTGACCGTTTGCACCCAGGATCAGCGCTGCAGTTCTCATGTGTTTCTCCCTGGACTGAATTAACCTGCTGGGTGAACGGAGCCGAGATGCGTCCGGAGAGGAGGACGACGCGGGATGAAGTAAGTGGCGGGTGCTGGTCCCATTCCAAGGATGGGCCGGGTGCCGGGAATGGGGAGCTGAGCAAAGCTGCTCCCTGGGCAGGCAGGTCCCGCCGGGCCGTCCCGGACGGCGTCGGTTCCCGTTCGGAACAGGGATAACGGGAATGGGACCTTCCCCGCTGGTGCGCGCGGGCAGCCCTCGCTGTCACTGCTGCTCTGCAGAGCCAGCAAACTGCGTTTCCTCCAAAAACCCTCGTTAGTGGCTCGCTAACGAGAGAGCCCGGGCGCTGCAGCC